TTCTGCTTCTGGATCTATTTATCTGGTGGTATATATGGATGATATTGTCATCACAGGAAGTGATCGGCATGGGATCAATCGATTGAAACATCATTTATGTCATCATTTTCATATTAAGGATATTGGGAAACTTCGATACTTCTTGAGAATCGAGGTGGCCCAATCTAAAGCTGGTGTTGTGATATCTCAGAAGAAATATGTTTTGGATATTCTTGAAGAAACTGCTCTATTGAATTCAAAGTCTGTTGATACTCCTATGGATCCAAGTATCAAGCTTCTACCAAATCAGGGGCAGCCCTTTTCAGATCCTGAGCAGTATAGAAGATTGGTTGGAAAATTGAACTACCTCACAGTCACTCGGCCTGATATTTCCTTTGCACACTACTAGAAAATTCACAATCAGCGGGGGAAAAATTCTCTTGCAAAACAGCAAAATTCCCTTGCAAAAACTGTCTCCTCGATCAGACGGTACATGAAGGAGATATCGTAAAATGATCAAAGACTGCTCCTTCCTCAATTCACCTGTGAAGTTTTTAAAATGGTTCTCTCTCTATTTTCATTTATAGTGACTGATTTTTACACTCCCTTGTATTCAAAATGCTATTCACACGCATTGAAAATGGCTGCTGAATATCTTGAACTGGGAGCCCTAGCTTTTTTTATTGGGCTGAACTTGACTTTTAATTAAGTGGTTAAAGCCTAACTACAAAGACCAGTGCCCTTTTTGGTGGCATCAGAAGCATGCGTCACTTTTCATTCATTTGTACAGTGATGACGACGATGATGGCTGGAACATGTCTCTTTAAGACATTTTCATCTGCTTCTCACAACCAATTCATTTGTACACACAGATTAAATTTCAACATAATCTTATCTTTCCTACGATTAGCTGACATAGGCATTACTATCATTACATGCACTCAATGTCTGCCACAAAGGATGCGACGACGCATTTAATGACTTTTTATCATACGCATATTGCATATTTTCTATATAGTCTTCTCCTACCTATAACGGCAAATTCCTAATTTATGCCCTTTTAAATTTGATTTATATGTTATTTTTGAATTTTGTGAGGAAATACACATCCCTCGCAATTTGCGAGGGAATACTAATCCCTCGCAATTTGCGAGGGAAACAGCGAGGGAAATTATGAAATTTCAGTTGCAATTTTCAGATCCTAGATTTTGCGAGGGAAAAAATTTTTCCCTCCCAATTTTCGTCACAGACTTATGATTCTTGCGAGGGATTTAATTTCCCTTGCAAATTGCGACGGAATTGCGACCGAACTGCAACGGATTCTGCGACGGCGATGTAGTAACAGAAATCTTGCCTATTTTCCCTCGCAATTGTCTTTCGCTTGCAAATTCCGTCGCAGTTTGCCAGGGAATTTTTCCCTCGCAAATTTCCGTCGCTATTTGCGACTTTTCCAGTAGTGGCAGTTAGTGTTGTCAGACAATTTCTCAATTCTCCATGTCAAAAATATTGGAATGCAGCCATTCGTATTCTTAAGTATATCAAGGCATCTCCAGGAAAAGGCCTTGAATATGAAGATAAATGTCATGATAAAGTTGTTGGGTACTGTAATGCTGATTGGGCAAGTTGTCCAGCTGATAGGAGATCTACTTCTCGGTATTGTGTCTTTGTTGGAGGCAATTTGATTTCCTGGAAAAGTAAGAAACAAAGCATAGTTGTCAGATCAAGTGCTGAAGCAGAATACCGCATGGCGACTACTACTTGCGAGCTCATCTAGCTTAAACAGCTTCTCAGAGAGCTTAAGTTTGGAGACACTGGACAGACAACTCTCATTTGCGATAATCAAGCAGCTCTACACATTTCATCAAATCAAATCCAGTGTTTCATGAAAGAACCAAGCATATAGAAATAGATTGTCACTTTGTTCGAGAAAAGGTTCTTGCTGGTGAAATTAAAATTAGTTTTGTACCCTCTACTGAGCAATTAGCAGATGTGTTTACAAAATCTTTGAGGGGTCCTCGAATGGAGTTTATATGTAACAAGCTTGGTGCATATGACCTATACGCTCCAGCTTGAGGGGGAGTGTTAGAAATATATTGTAATTAGGGTTTCTTTATTTTGTATTAGGTCTGATTACATTAGGTTTGGGATTAGCCCATTAGATTGTTTATATATTGTACATCATTCATCAATTAATACACAGAGTAGTATTTCAAATGTTCCTCTCTTCTCTCTTTGCTCTCGTTATTTAACATGGCAGTTGCTTGAATATGCTTGAATATGCTTTCACTGGTTATGATGATGGCAAGAAATCTGCACATGATGGTGGATTGTTCTCGAGCAATAATTTTGATGAGATTGTCTTGGATGAGTAAAAAGATGTTCTTCTTGAAGTAGGAATCTTATTAGAATCACTTTGCTCTAAGTCTGCCTTGATGTATGGTTTTTAATTCTGATACATGTTATATATCATATATATGCTCCATGGTGTGGTGTGGACACTGCCAGACACTAGAGCCACTGTATAACAAGCTGGCCATTTATGTAAGAGGAATTGGTTCCCGTCTTTTAGCAAATATGGGTGGTACAAAAAATGAACACCCTATGACCAAGGTACTTGACATTTTAATTGCTAGTTGTATTTCATTTTGCATTACATAATACTACGGATCCTGCATTTATGGAGTGGAGACTAACTGTGTCTGATTTTCAAAAATTACTGTAATAGGCCTTAGCATATATGATAAAATATAGTTCCTCAACATTTTCCCTTTTTGACATTCCGTCTCGTTTAATTTGTCAGGAAAAGTAATTCAATTTCTTGTGTGACATTTCCCCGAGGCATATGCAGATTATTGTTGACCCTAATCGAACCGTGTTGTCAATATTCAAGTTTCTCAAATTGCATGCTTCCATCCTTTTCGAGCTGCAGAAACCAGCCACAGCAGAAATAATCAAAGCAACGCTGTTAATAACGTGCAGGATAATTTATGAAGACTTTAAAGGGGAATAATTTTTTCTGATTCGTAAGTTACAAAAATTTGTTGCTACTATTAAGTTTACAAATTCTTTCCATGCTTTTAAATTCTTTTGAAGTAAAACTATGATTAATATACGCAAGATCAACTATTAATTTTTTTAATCAAAGTACGACATATAGCACTGGTCTGCAAGGAGCATTATTTTTCAAATTATTTGCCAAGTTATTTGACAAAAGGTTTGAATCCAATATAAAGTTCTTGAAATCCCGTAGACTAGTAAGTAGTAACTATAAACGGACAATTGTTTCCCAAACCGGCCCATAAAAGGCGAACCCTGTGAAATTGAATGGCCTCAACTATTGCAGAAAAAGGTTGTTTGGGTGATAATTTTCTTATTGGGCTTACTCCTTTTCTCAAAATTCCATCATATGAGCCTGTATATGAATTACGTATTGCCATTTGAACAACACAGGACAACATTAACTAACTGGGAGGCAAAATCACCACAAATAGGTTAATTAGGCACGTTATTGTAGTCATAAGGTTGTGATGACAATAGAATTGCACATTTGCAATCACGTAAATGCCACCTTACAAGAATCTAGAACACTAGGTAATCAATCTTCATAGAAATTAATGCCTATGAATGCCAAAACATAGTAAAGAAAACATTGGAGTAAGAGAGAAACTGAAATCCAATTAGAAATATACTACGTTATAATTTAGGATTTTCATTTTATCCTTTAACATAATACAACAAACTTTCCTACACTCACAACATTTTGTGGGGCCCACACTTTTTAAAACAAAAAAATAAATAAAAAGTTAAGGCACGCAAAACGAATCTCTATAACATTACACAATCACTTTTCCTACAACATAACTCTTATAAAACCCTATAATTTATATGTATCATCCACAAATTCCAAGTTCCAACTACAAGGATGAAGTCACACCTAAGAAGAGGTTGACTCTTACCATGTAGTCATAAATTTTGCTTACACTGATACCTTCTTTTACCCTAATCAAGCTCAAAATTCTGGGATTTGATAGGTGAGATCACAGAAGAAAGAAATACAAATACTAAATACATCACGAAGTTTTATTTGTCCATGTAAGCAGAGTTGACACCATCTCAGTCCAACGGTCCTGCACATACTTAGATATTATAAACTCTGGAAGTATAACAATACGAGGAAGGATATTATTACTACCAAAATTTTTTACAACCAACTCACTACCTATCTAATCATCTTTGGATCAACTTTTTCTTTTTTTTCAAAAGCTTTTTAGCATTCTCTCTCTTTGATTCAATGATGATTAGATAGGTAGTAAGTTAGTAGTAGAAAATTTTGGTAGTAAGAATATCCTTCCTCCAAGAATATACTAACTACTCTGGAGGAAAGCTTAAAAATTCGGTGGGTCATGCTTTTTGGTGGTCTTGAATCTACTCAACACTTCGGACGGGACATCCCATAAAATTGGAAGTTGGATGTTGGGTCAACAATATAATATCCATTAGCATTTCTATGCATTTTTCTTTTACAAAAATTATACCTCATTTTTTTTTTTTTTATAACAATACCTCATTTTAAAATATAAACTTTAACGAAATATAAATCATAGACTAACTCTAATTTTATGAATGTTATATATAACGCCATATTATACAATTGTTTTTTTTTTTTTTTTAAAAAAAACTTGAAAATTCGTAATTTGTCTGAAATTAGTTGTCACTATCACTTCTCTACTTTATGAAGAAAAAAATCTATTTTGATATTTTAAATGAAGGGAAAGGATATTGTGACAACCAAGTTGTGTTACTACCAAGTGACTACCAATCAATCTTACCGTTAGATCAATTATATTGATCCAACGGTTATATTTATTTCCATCTTTGTATGATCATGATTTCCCAAATTTAATACTTTATATTTATTTTCACCTTTGTATGATTATGATTTCTCATATTTAATGCTTTCACTTTAAATATGGAGAATCATGACCATACAAAGATGAAAATAAATATAACCGTTGGATCAACACAATCAATTTAACGGTGAGATTGATTGGTAGTCACTTGTTAGTAATACATTGATTGTCACAATATCCTTCCCCTTAAATTAAAGGGTGTACATATTATATGAGACTTGCACGGATAGATTGGTGGAACCCATAACATTTTAGGATCAACTAGTTAATTCTAAATATGAGCCAACCGATATTATCATCTTACTATTACATGATATAGTCATGGATTTAACGTGTAATCTGATGCGGTTTCAAGAGGTTTTTCACAATACCGCAATTTAAAATCACAGATATAATACCCAAACACTTGCCCCCTTAAGCGCCCCCGTCTACGGCGGCGCGTTGAGCACGGCTCAGAAGCCACTCCAACATGTCCCCAAACACCAACTCCACGTTCTCTTGAGGTTCACCAACCAACTGGTGCCACATCCCAGGATATATCTTCAGCGTCTTATCCTTACTCGCCGCGCGTGCGTACAACTCCTCCACGCAAGCCGGGTCGCAAACCACGTCGTCGCCGCCGTGCACCACCAGCAACGGCACGTCAACCTCCTCGTACCTTCCCTGCAGCTCCCGGCATATCCTCAACAGCTCCTGCGCCGTGGAGGCGCGTGGGCGAGCCACCGTCCTCCTCGGACTCGCCAGCGCCAGCTTCCTCTTCCACAACTCCTTAAACGAGACATCAGGGATCGAGCCGCGCGTGGGAACCACGCGCCACGTCGGGATTATTGCCGCGGCGATGGAGAGGAAGTGCTCGAGCGGCCACGGCGGTTTGAACTTGGCGCTGATCCCGCACATGGCGCCATTGAGGATGAGGCCGTTCCACGGCGATTCGCGACGGCGGAGGGTGATGAGGAGCGCGATGGCGCCGCCGAGGGATTCGGAGTAGAGGAAGGAAGGCAGCGAGGGATCGAAGCGCGAGCGGAAGGCGTCGAAGAAAGAGATGCAGTCGTCGACGACGGGGTTGATGTCGGGGATATGGGTGTTGAGGCCGTCGGAGAAGCCGTGACCCTGGTGGTCGATGGCGCAGGCGGCGAATCCAGCCTTGGCGAAGTGGATTGCGGTGAGTTGGAGGAGCCAGCTGGACTCGCCGGTGAAGCCATGGACGAGGGCGAGGGTTCCGATGAGTTTGGCCGGAGGGAGTGGGGTCCACCACTGGGTGAAGAGCTTAAGACCCCTAGGGTTAGTAATGAACTCGGAGCCGTGACTCACTGAGTGGCGAGCGTAGAACTCGTCCGGCGTGAGGGTTCCGAAGGGGCTATTCTCGTTGGCCTCGGCTATTGGGTGCACCATTTTGTTGCGTTGTGGCTAAAATGTGGAGTGTGAGTAGTGAGTGCCAAAGAGTTGAATTTCTATCAGATAGAGCTTTGATTCGCTATTTATTACTATTAATTTGGTACTGTTGGTGTAAGTTACAAGTACAACTACCTCGTTTAAGTCTAATTAGACCAGATTTTATTCTCATACTAATTTCTTTTTCCTATGAAAGACGACTCTTTTTTGATTAAGTTTACTTTTTTTGGAAAAAAAAAAAAAACATATGTAAGAAATCTCTTTGAAATAAGTTAGTGGTTTGATTAATTTGTTGTAATACTTTCGTAAGATATGAAGGGTTGATTTTCTATCTTAATAAAGTTTTCTTAAACAAATAGAAATTATGGATTTATTTTTTCTACAGTTAATGCATATAAATTATTTGTAATAAATCCAATATGATGTCATTTTAAGGCATAAATTATGGTGTATTTGTAATTTTAATTTATTTCAGAGTTAAAATAGTCTTTATATTTATAATTTTTTAAGATTTCAATATCAAAACGATGTTATTTTGAGTATAAATGCAGATAACTTATCTGCAGTAACTGCATAAATATTTTTCCCAAAAATTATTTCAAGTAGCTAGGAGTTATTTCTCATTTACAAATGGTGTTTGAAGAGTTGTTCTTAGGGACGAGAATTTACTATTCCATATGGGATTTTATATTTGGATTGACTCAGATTTACATTCATATCGTGTTTATGTTACACAAAATAATATGAAATAATTTGTTTTGTGTTGTGTATCAAGTCATAAGCATGACATGCATGGAAGCAGAGCTAACACACATGTCAATCAACTTAATCAAGTTCTCAGGAAGGCCAATTTTCATGAGAGTATCATGAATAAAACTCCACTCTAATCGGTCATAAGCCTTTTCGAGGTCCAGTTTAATAGCCATCCACTGCTTGGTTCCCTTATTCATTTTCATGGAGTGGATGACTTCCTGAGCAATAATAATATTATCGGTCCCGTTTCTCCCGAGCACAAAGCTGCACTGGTTAGGAGAGATCCAGGTCTGCATGTACTCCCTCAGGCAACTAGCTATGATCTTGGTCACAATCTTATACGATACATTGCATAAGCTAATGGGCCTACATTTATTGATTCTTTCAGGCACCTCAACCTTCGGAATGAGAACCAAGAGAGTCTGGTTAATCTCCGCTACCTTTTTCGGATTTGAGAAGATATCCT